TTTTTTTTCTAAGTCCAAATTTTGTGAAACCTTTTCGATTAAGACAGACGAGTTATTTATGCATGCTATATTATCCCAAAGCCAACATTCGAATGAATGAGACCCACATTGAAAATTTCATAACGAGAAAATTTTATTGGGGCAAAGTTAAAAATTTTAACTAAGTCCCAGTAATTTTTTCTCGTTGTGAAATTTTTGGGAATTGGTGTGAGGGAACACTAAAAAACATAAAAAAGTTTCAACGTTGAACAGGAAAGAGAAATTTTCATCTGGGACTTAGGGGGGTTTTTTTTAGGCTTCCCACCTCCCCCTTCTCCCTCTTCCTCCTCCTTCTTCCCCCTTTTTTCGCTTTTTTTTCATATTTTTTTCCTTTTTTGGTGTTGTTTTTTTCACATGTTGTGGTATTTTTTGAAGATCTTCGGGTTCGGCATGCATCGTCCGCAATGTGTCTCTCTGTGTGTAACCTCTCGCATCATGATCCTCACGTTGACCATCACTTCGCGTGTATGTTTCAGGACACACCGCGCCTGCCAACAGCCAGCCACCAGCACTGCTCCATTTTTTCTGCTTCAGAGTTGGTCGTCGTCGTCTCCAGCTGGATTCGACCCATCTCACCTTGTGCCTCCAGAGTGATGTCACCTAGTATGCGGTCACCTTAACCACTCGGCTATTTGATATATTGATGATAACAGTTATTTTTATATTCTTATCATGTATTAATATTGAATTTTAATAAAGTATATATATCATACCCATCTCTCTTATTCATCACCTGCCTCCACCCTTCTCTTTTCCCCATTCTTCCTCTACCTTCGTCATCTCTCTCTTTATATCTCTCTCTTACAGTCGAGTGCGAACCTTGAGTTTTTTGTTTTTCAGAAATATTCTAAGTGTCAAGGTCGAAATGCGCCACCTGAACTTGATATTTTGAACTATTATTTGATAATTATGAAAAACTAGAGATTTGATTTTTGAAGCCTCTTCGGGATTTGAACCGAGAAACATCGAGCAACCTTAGTGGTAACTTAACGATCTCGGCCAACTGGCTGTACAAAAAACTTTTCTATTGGAAACATATAAGTTTCCTAAAAATCTGCTATTTTGAGTGAGCAAATGGCCGAGGTCGTAAAGATACGAACTCCATTTATCTGAAAAATATATTTAAATTCACTAATTTTTCTAACTCTGTAAATAAATAAGACATATAGATAAATAATTAAATTTATTGAGTGTCAGTATTACAAAAATCGACATAATATATTAGGTTGTCAAATATCTCCCTTCCGCTTTTTTGCTCTTGGTTTATAATACAAAAAGGCGGAAGGGAGATATTTGACAACCTTATATTTATATTTATATATATATATATATATATATATATGCCTGGTTAGCAGTAAACCAAACCTACTTTGGTGTAATTTAAAAATTTTACATCTTTTACTATTTTTCCCATACAAAACCGGTTTTTCAGGGGTAGCCAAAATGGGCCAAAATCGTGACTTTCAAATGCAATTTTAAGACCCTTAATGAATGAAATTGATAATTTTGAATGAATTGTGTAGACTAAGGTACAATCTTTATACCAAACAAAATTACAAATTTATCATCAGCTTCATGGTTCAAATCAGCTTCAAAGTTGTCAATTTTTCAAACTTCAAGTTGGTCGTAGGGGTGGAAGGATTTTTTTTTTTTCCAAAAACCGATTTTATATTCGGAATCAGCACCTGGAAAACTATCAGAATCGGTCAAAACATTTCGAAAATTGCGTAAAAAAATTTTCATTTCATTAGTAAAGTTTTGATTTTGCAACCAAAGATTTCGATTTTTCGGGGGATGTATGTGGATTTATCTAAAAATGGATTATATTTTCGAATTCAGCGATTCAAAATCAAATCCAATCAAAACATTTTGAAAATCGCAAAAAAAACTTTTTTAAAAAAAATCGATTTTGCAACAAAAGATTTTCATTTTTCGCGGAGTGTATGTGGATTTATTCAATAACGAATATCATTTTTAAAATCAGCGTCCTAAAATCTTTTGGAATCAGTCAAAACATTACGAAAATTGTAAAAACAAATCCATTTTTTTGCTAAAATTACGATGTTACAACCAAAGACTTTGTTGTTTTGCAGTGGTACACGCCCTGAAAGCTCATCAAACAGGATAATTTCGTCCTTTTCATCAAAAAGACTTTGTCCAATTAGTTGTTGATTATATTTATCTATCCACGGATTTTTTTAACAAAGTTATTGCCGTTTTATTTTTATGAAATATTCAAAAATATTTATACATATAGACTTTTTCCAAAAAAAATTTTCCCCAAAAATTTTTTCCCCAAAGTTTTTTCACAAAAAATCATAGTCCATGGTTTTCCCCAAAATTTTTTTCCCAAATTATTAATTATTATGAAATAGATTATAGTAATTTGTATCGTACAATTTGATGGATTTTTTTAAACAATCAAATGGTTCAAAAGAAAGTGTTTTTTGTAAATAATCGAGAATAACTTTTTTTAAAAATCGTGATTTTTTAAATTTTCTAAAGCTGACAAACAGCTAGGATCCATCAAACTCTTTATCTAGATGAAATACGATTAATTTTGATATTTGAAACGACACTTATGATTTAAAAGAAAAAAAAAACATTACTTACAAAAGCTTATATATTTTTTTACCCATTTATGATGTAAATATTGAATTATCAAAAACAACTGTTCTTATAATAATTCTACTTAACACAAAAATAAATACACATTTTTTTAATGAAAACACGCATTTTGTTAAAACTGTGAAAAAAAGTATTTCCTCCTTCTAAAATTATTCTGATTTACAATGTCAAAAAATATGAAAAAATCGGAGCTGTGTTCAAAATATATTCAACAATTCAGAATTATGCCCAACTGTAATTTATGGAAAATATTTAAGAGAGTATTGTAGTCTAAAGTTATGTATTTTATGCGATTTTTTTAAAAGCAATAAAAAAGGAAAACTAGCTGTAAGTGGAATTCTGTCTTAAGGCAATTAAGGCATCGTGCCTTAATGCAAATTGCTGGAACTTCCCGTACCAAAAATTATTATATAAGACAAAAAAATAGAGACAAAATGTCAAAGCGCGCAAGTGCCGCGCCGCCGTCTAACGCATAAGCATTGGTACGGAACTCACAGAAATGTAAAAAAAATATACGTATTGTTAAAATCTCTATAAAATATCTGAAATTTGATGTGCATATGTCTAATGATCATTTTTAACCGCCGAATGGCATTTTTTTTACTTTTTTATTAGATCTCCGAAACCGCTAGACCTGCCTTCATGAAAATTTGATCAATTTTTCATCTTGTCAATACCAGTAAAATGTTTTTTGAATTATTCAAATCGGACGCTCCGTTCTCTTAAAAACTGAGTTACCGTTTTCGGCACTTTTTGCCCCGTATCTTCGGAGCGTCTAGACCTGCCTTCGCCAAAAACTAATCAGCACGTGTCCTTATCAATACATATCGAATGTTGTTTGAATTATTCAAATCGGTTGATTCGTGTTCCCGAAATCTTCGACGAAAATTTGTATCCGCACATACATACATACATACATACATACATACACACACACACACACATACATCCATTGTTTCTAAGGTATGCCAAAATGTTCAGAAGGTTTTGAAACGTAAAGATATATAAAAATTTTCATTTTCGATTTTTAAGTTAATAATAATTTACTTTTTTTTTCAATTAAGTAATATTTTATGAATACTGGAAAAAATTAAAATTAAAAACAGTCAAAAAGTTTAAATTCTATCGGGTGACAAAATGGAAAGTATCAAAAATTAGGCACGTAACCATACCCTCTGATTTCAGCTCTCCAAATAATCCGAAAAAAGAAAAGATTATTAATCTAGAATGTCGCAATTTTCAATATAACTAAAAAATGAATTTCTTAATTTTTTTGATATTCTCAATTTTTTATAAATAGCTAAATTTTTTATAAAATTTCAGTTTTTATAAAAATCTAAATTTGGGGAAGAGCCAAGTTTATACTAATGAGAATAAGTATTTACAGAAGACTGAAAAAATTTCAAGTAAATTCATACTCCATTATTTCGAAATAATATGTTGTCATTTCCAATAAATATAACTAAAGTTGAAAATACGTTCAATTAATTAATTAATATCTCAAGCCTTTCTTTACTGTGTGAACGTACTTGAGATAATCACGAAATTGCCAACTTCTCAAAAAATGTATTTTATCAGAACTCTGTTTAGCTATACAATTCATAGCTTAGCAGTTACCTATAAAATAATATTAATAACAAATAAAATTACCTTTAAATATCCGTAATGTGGCCAAGTGGTTAAGCGCACGACTCCCAAACCCAAATGCACTCGGATCGAATCCCGGTTCTGCGTATAAAGTTAAATTAAATGCACTTGGCGCCTCTTAAAAACAAATACACTTTTAAATTCACTTGACTTTTAAAGCGGCTATGCATTAGCTTTACAAAGTCGGCAATAATAATAAAAATGAAACTTACCGGCAGAGGCACTATACAAAATGCATATAAAAATAATTAGATAAATATTTAAAAAAAAATAATTATGAAAAAAAAAAAAAAACAATTTACGAATTTAATAATAAAAAAAAACTTACCGTTAAAGTATCGCATAAAATCTAAGAAAATAGAAATAATACTATCCCATCAAGCTGGCCAAGAACGAGATGACACTGACCACGATGTGTTACGACAAAAAAAGTTTTTAAACTGAATGTTGGGTAAAAAATTATATGTATCGCTTAAGATGCTTTAGATACATATATCCTGTTCTCTGCCCTCTAGCACAGGACCATATCAAACAATCCAATCGCATCCTACCACCAGTCATTACATTCAAAATAAAAACAAGATACTATAATATATATATACTTTAATATTTCATTTAAGTAATAAAAATATAAATTAGTGGAACTAACAATCTATTTTAAATATATATTTCGAATAAGAATAATATTATTGTATCTTTGTTTTCTTACTTGGGGGTGGTGAAGATGATGAAGATGATGAAATATCATTATCAATATTAGAAGTACTTTCATCACAAATAGGCATGATGATTGGATTTTCAATAAATATTTGGTTTTTCATTATTACTTCAACTAGATTAGAGTCTTCACGGGTGTATTGAAAATTTAATCTGAAAAGGATAAAAATTAATTACAATATCAATTTTAATACATGTTAATTGTGTCTTTATATAATAAAGTAATTATACACATTTTAGGATTGATTTATATTTCTTCATATCTAACATAGATTATATGACTACATTTAAATCAAAACATATAATGAATAGATATAGAGTACTATCTTAATTTCAACTATGGTAATACAATGATATCAAAATCAAGCCTCTTTTACTAAGGACTAAAGATTTTAGCTTTAAAGATCTTAGAATAAAAGATTTTAGCTAATACTTACAATTTACGATTATTTGAAGGAGGATGCTCATTTGAATTTGGTTGAGTATTGTTAATGTTGTTTATCACCATAAAGCCAGTGCAATCCTCCACTTTGTAGATTCCTACCAAGCGATTACATAGTCTAAACATTGATTCACGTAATGATATTACTATGAACTGTGTATGATCCGAAAGGTGCTGTAAGTATTACATTTTATAAAAAAATGATTCATCGATATTTGATAACACATAAAACAAATATAATTAAAAAAGATTAAATTACCTTGAAAATTTCTTTGATTTATTTACTCATTTAAGAAACGATTACATTAAAAACAACTTGAACAACAACATATAAAGTTGCTTGAAACTTTTAACACTGTAATTTTAAAAAATCTGAATCTCAATTGCTTGGAGCAGAAGTATAACTTTCTGTAGTGATTCTATCTCAGTTTAGAAACATCATAATTATATTAACCAATTTCATTCTTTTATTTATATTTTTTTACTGTTTTTATTATTAATTATAATTTTTATTATCCATTTAATGATATTTTTATTATTATGTGTTTATATTATTTATATTATAAATTATATTCTATGATAATAATAATAAATATAATCATTATTATTTTCAATATTATTGTAGTATTAACTTCCCCGAAGGAGAAGTTTATATTTTCATCAAAAAATCCGATTCGCTAATTTTATGTTTTCTCGACGTTTCAAGCCATTCTGAATCGAATGAGACCAAATTTAGAAAAAGCATGTATGTATGTGTGTGTGTGTGCGTGTGTGTGACCAGATTTTTTGCCGTAAATGGACGTTTTCTCAAAAACGGCTGGACCGTTTTCAAAAATTCAAAAGCCATTTGATGTATCTCAATGAGGACTATAGTTTGTCAGTTTTGTGCGACGATATGCCGAGCCGTTTCTATGAAAAAGTGTTAAATGTTGATCGATGTTCGAAAGATATTAGTTAGGAATAATACTGATTAGTTTTAGGTGAAAATCTACCGAGCCGCTTTCTTATAATTAACTGTTGAAAAAAAAATTTAAGCCGATTTTTATGGAACTTTGTTTGGCGATATATATATCATGGTCTTATAGAACTTACTGAAATATTAAGCCGATTTTTATGGAACTTTGTTTGGCGATATATATATCATGGTCTTATAGAACTTACTGAAATAAGTTACTTACTTACCTTACGACAAGTCGTTTAATTTTAAAAATTCATCAAAGTTTGAGAAAATGAGTAGTTTTTTTGACGTTTGCTAAAATTAAAATTAGACGATTTACTTACTTGGTATAACGCTAGGGTACATGGTCTCAATGCACATACTAAACCATCAAAGTCCTACGAAATCTGGTTCAATTATAAAAATTATTGATTTGTGAAAATTTGCTTTTAGAGAATACTCCGAGTTAACATGTTCGTTCGTTTTCAATTATGTGTAATAAATCCACTCGGAATACTTTAAATTACTCATGAATTAATTAATATTTTATAGATTGATTTATTGTTTATTTACACATATTGGGAAGTTCATGTATCTTGCCTCAAGGCAAAATACTAACACAAACTAGTTTTATTTTTGTTTACCACTTTTCTTTTTCTTTTTCATTACATAATTTTGGGTTCATGCTACATCATATAATAAGAATACATCTGCGCCTAAATAAATGTGCCTTATTAAAAAGTAGGTGTAGTATGAGAGGGTAATATTTTTATGTTCAAGTTGCAAATAAACATTTATAGTTCAGCCAAGTCACATTAATAAATTAATGATAAACAATTAATAATGTAAAATTGTATTGTTAAATTCACTTCTTACTTGTATTAAATTGCCCACAATAGTCACATTTCGAGTATCTAAAGCCGCATCTATTTCGTCCATAAGATACATCGGTGATGGCCGAAAATGGTGAATAGCGAATACAAAAGCTAACGAAGAAAGAGTCTTCTCTCCGCCTGAAAGCTGCATTATACTCCGCCATGATTTCTTAGGGGGCGAATACTGCAGGAAAAATATATTTATTATTCACGTTTATCAAAATTTTGGAATTTTTTGTTCGGTAAGTTAAAATGACCTAAGCAGCGGTAGTAGATAAAAAACCGTTATGCATATCCATTTTAATTTTAAAGTATTTAAATGTTAAAAAAAACTAATTTTTGAAAACGAGTTAACCCCTTAACTTACGATTTAGATTCGAAAATATCGGCCCAAAGTTGTTGAAGCAGACCCGGCGTTTGTGACTATTTTCCCTCATAGTGTACGGTTTATCACAAAAATAAAAATAATTTTGTGTTTTATAGTTTCGTATGAATAAATATTTTGTAATAGTTGCGTTCACGATAGCGGGCCGTGCCCGTAATGCTTCTGACCCGAATATCGCCCGTAATATTAAATGACAATTCCTGCTTGTCATTTTAAGTTAAGGGGTAAATAAAAAAAGTTTTTGAGCAATTTGCATTTGAAGAAATGCAAATGTTATATCTTCTGAAAATATTGATGTTTCTGCATTTTTTGTTATTCAACCAACATTTGCAAATATAAAATATAATTGAAAAATCATGGCCAATAAAACACAACAATCAAAATTATTTGATATATATATATATATATATATATATATATATATATATATATATATCTGAGTGGTTAGATATCAATTTATAAATATGAATAAACAGCGCTCTTGTTTGCACCAATTTATTAAATAAAATTAATTTTACAAACGTTGCGAGATTAGGTTTGTCTCATCATGTGTATTATAATTATAATCTAAAATATGAATGTAGCATAGTGTGTTAACTGTTCCAACTTGTTCTGCTTGTAAGCAAAAGAAACAATTGTAAAATTAATATTATTTAATAAACTAGTGCAAAAAAAGTGCTGTTTGTTCATATTTCATATTTATATATATTATATATATATATATATATATATATATATATTGTTGTACACCCCTGATATTATAAGTTGCTAACCACTGTCATAATATTAGATTCCTAACAAGTCCAGACTGAAATCTTAGAACCCCTGAGCTTTAGCTGATATTAACGGTTCATATTAACTTTTCTCAGACTACTGCGTAGTAGCTGACATTACACATTCTCTCACGAAATCATAAATCTACATCGACAATTCTCAGCAAGATCCTATTATCGACATTCCGCCTAGTTAACAATTCTCACCAAGTTCGCATGAATAACATTTTGTTTAATCAGCTAAATTCATTACTTTGTCCTTTTCGTTGTATAGAACATTCGAGACAAATCCCCACTACGTTTCAAAGGATTTTAGTTTTAATAATTATGAAATAAATCAGTCTTAATCTGTCGGTCGCCGGGCAAACACTTCTCTTCCAATACCTCCGAGTTCCTTGTACTTAAAGTGAAATAAAGTGAAGTTTTTGAAATAGTCTTTTCATTTATCAATTTCAAGTATTTTCAGCAAGTGAGTTTTCAGGAAAGTCGGAAGGTCCAGAGCAACAACACCGATTTGCATATAGCGGCGCCAACACCCCTTTTCTGTTCATCAACGCGGTGTCCAACAATATATATATTATATATATATATATATATATATATATATATATATATATATATATATATCTATATATATATATATATATATATATATATACACACGCCAATCGGCTATATACATTTATAATTATATAGTAATATTAAAGCTAGAACTAAAAAAATATTTTGATGCCAAATAAATTTAATCATAAGGGTCCGTTCAAGTATTACGTAAGCACTATAGGGGGGCGGGGGGGTTATTGATTTGCTTATTTTGCTTATTTTTGGTAAGAAATTTGCTTACTTTTGCTGACAAAGGGGGCGGTAAATGATTGTAATAAATCTGCTTACGTAATACTTGAACGAATAACCCTAAAATACTTTCATACTTCATTTAAATTTATTTATTATATTAGTATCTTTAGAGAGAATTGCAACTATTTGAATCATAGATGATGAATCAAGTAAGTATTGAATATAAACACATATAGTAGAGCACTGAAAACGAAACGTTTGATTGAATCTTTCGACTTTAGTTCCAAAATTTAAAAGTTAGAGCATTTTAAATCAGCAATATACATGAAATTACAACATACAGTTAACATTCTTAAGTAACTCATAAAATAAATACTAAATAGCAGTAGTTTGATATTTTCATGTAAAATTAACCATATAAACAAAAAATTAGAAATTCGATCTATTAATATAAAGATTTTCAAAGGCAAATAATGAAATTATAATAAACTTAATAAATATTTATAAGTACCGCAAAAGTATAAAGAATACAGTGTATTTAACTTGGAAATTCTATTGGATAAATTTATAATTTTCTAAAGTGGAATATTTAAAATAATATTAAATCTCAGACAATTAGATGATTTTTTTTTGCTCAGTAATTAAATTAGGTTTACATACTAAGAAAATGGGTTTTATTAATTTTAAATAAAAAAAAGTTTATATTTCCCTATAAAATAAACATATATCCAATCTAAATTAGTATAATTTCTTCGTGTATTTTATATTTGAAGTTTGTTATAAAAATTAAATACTTACTTGAGTGTAACTCCCTTGGTAAATGGATTATAACTATCAACAAGATCAAGATCTGCATCTCCATCCAGTGAAAGCATTCTATAAAACTCTCGACATTTCATTGCAATAATGCCAAAACCTGTCATAAATTCATCCATTCTTCTCTCTTCCAGAGTATTTAAAAGTTCTTTTATTCTTTCCAGCTCACTAGTTACAAGAGATACAGCTTTTTGCGCATCCTCATCTCTTGCAATGCTCTCATTGAAAATCTAGAACAGATAATCTTTGTACTAAATATCTTATTAAGTATATGTTAATTTAAATCAAACGATAACTAAATCTTCTTATTATCTCTATGTGTCTAAATATTTGGCTTGATTAAATCTTGTGCTTTACTAATTATTCAAGTTAATCAATTAACAATTGATCAATTATCAATTGTTAAATACATATTATTGCCATTATTATTTATTTTTGATGTTTCATCTTAATTTTCTGATAGGTTTTCAATGTTACATACAAATTAACAAAAAACATTTATACAAATATTTAAGTGCTTTTCTCTTGGTATATATATATATATATATATATATATACATGCATATATACATATTATAATTAATATTATACATACATTAATTGCAGTAATATTTGGCTCAAGTTTGTTTTCTTTTATTTTAGTTTCAGCATCATGAATTTGTTTTTCCACCTCATTAACATGAATATCAGCTAGCTCTTCGGCAGTTAATGTTTTAAAACATTCATCAACTAAATTAGTCAATGATGACTCATTTAATTTCAATTGATTTTTCTAAAATATAAGAAAAAATAATCAAAAAAATAAAAATATAAATTGTATATATATATAATATATACAAATATGAATTGCATTTATATATCCGCTATATAAAATAAATAACAAACCTCTGAATTGTACAAATCAATTTCCTTGGAATAATTATTCAACTTTTGTCGAATTTCAGTAAATTGATTTTCAAGTTCCAACAGTTCTGAATTCAACGCAGTACGCGCCTTATTTATAGATTTTAGTTTTGTCTTTGTGACACGATATGTTTCTTTAATTTCATTTAATTTAACCTGAAAAAATAGTGTTATTGAAATAATGGAAAATAATATGTACGTCTATGTTTAACAACACGCCTTAACACATTTATTAATAATATAATTAAAAAAGAGATTATAAATTAATATAAACTCTTTTTTGTAAATTTGTAACACTAAATTTACTACCTCTAGTAGATGCCAAGTCACTTTATATTGAGTAATTTTGTTATTTGCTTTTATTACTATTTCGGTGAATTTAAAATTTTTTCCATTTCATCGCGCCCCTCTATTCTGATTCTAGTTTGATTATTTTGTCATTTTCTGAATTATGTCAAATCCTAATTAATTTATTGATAATTAATTTGCTCATGTACCAGTGAATTAAGCCATATGGTAGTGTTATGATCATATTAAAAAGTAAATTTATTCAACATTTATCTTCAATCGATAAATAAGACCGTCACTGTCAATGGCCACAAGATTTTGTATTTTAAAGCCATTAGTTCAAGTTCTATTTCTGCCCTTTTTGGATACTTGGGGAAATTATTTTGTAATAAAAAACTATAGTTCAAGAAATATTTATATTTATTTTGTTAGGATAACCATACCATGAAATATAATTCTTGTTAAGGTTCATTCAGAAATTGAGTTATTTGACAGTATAAATAAAATACCAAATTAGTTTAATATATACTGTAGTTTGTGTTTCTAAGATAATATGTGAATATTTCCTTATTAAAGAAAATTGGTATTTAAATCCTTAGAACCGGTTATCAGATATATACACCATTCTTCTGAAGTGAATCTTTTCACTGAAGCAACTTCAGATAGCTAATAGGAACAAAATTAACTACATCAGTTATATCAACCATATCGCTAAAAAAAAGCTGGAATGAATTTTCTGTAACATTAGTAAGAAGAATTTGAAAAGAACCAAAATAATACCAGAAAGCAGGGTTGTATGTGAAACCTATAACATGCATTATCAAACTGTATACGTAAAACCTTAGCCTCCAATCATGAGTGTCATTAAAATAAATGCAGTAAATTTAAAATAAAAAGGGTTACTTAAATTAGGACTAACATTAGAAAATAAATTACTGCTTATTTCATACGAAAAATAAGCAATAAACAAAAGCACGTCCTAACTTATGATGTGCAGAAGCCTAGCAGGAATGCACAGGATTCGAGATTGTATAGCATAATAAAATGGTATTAAAGCTGTAAAGGAGTACTAGAAAACTTATTTTCAATGGTTTGTTCATATTGCCTATATCTGAAAGAAAACTTAAATACAATACCTCAGAATACAACTATCAAAATGTTCAGATTCAAAAGCAATTTTATAAAATTGCTATTTATAAACAGGAACTGAGAAAATAAAAAAGAGTATTGGAGTAGAAGTATGGCATTGAAATATTGAAAAAAATATAAATAAATCTTGCTACTAGCCTCATGTTCTTCCTTCTCCCTCATTACAACTTGAGCATTTTCTTCGATCTTTTTCTTTTCGTCTTGCAGTTTTAAAATCTGGTTTTGACACTTTTCAATATCAAGTTCCATAGAGCTGATTTGTTTTTTGGTCATTGCCACTTTTCTGAAATTTAAAATATATATTATGTACTAAATAAATCTATAAAACAGATTTTTGATTTTCTATTATAAGTACGTCGCATATAGAAAAGTTGTACAAAATGATTGGAGGAAACAATAATGTGTTTAGATAAAAGATTGAAGAAGTCAAAAACATTGAATGACGAAAGCTATAAAAAGCAATCAGTAAGGCTACTTTTAGGTTCAAAATCTGAAAGTGTTACCCACTCAAAGAAGGAATTATAAGATGTATAATTCTTATAAAATTATTAAAAATTTGGAGAGGACCACAAATAATTTCGACCTGAAATCCCATATAAACTTACATGATGAGAGGAAAGCATGCAATAAAGGAAAGCAAACCTAGAAAAGTCAAGATTTATGGTACATGATTAAATAAAACTTACTTTTCATTGTTAGTAGTAGCAACTTTTAGTGTCATAATTTGATTTTGAAATTTTGATATTTCTTTTTTCAAATTATTAATTTTGTTTGTTCAAATTTGATCGAGCCAATCACCGAAGAGTTAATTTTTTCTAAAACTTCATTTAATTCTTCTTCAATCTGAAATTGTTCGAAGTACATTACAATAGAAAATTAATAATTTTTTATCTTTATTACATTTCCATCAGAAGTTAAGCCTTTATGTTGTACTTGTCTAATAATTTACTTTTTAATCAAAATATTTTATATACTTTATATAAACAAAAATATACAATACTTTTCGGCAATTTAAATATAAAACTGAAAAGTATTATTTTTTTTAATATATAAATAAAAAGCACATTTATAAAATTGATTTGAGACAAAAGCGGTAGCTATAGTCAGTATTATTATTATATATATATATATATATATATATATACATAATATACTTATGTATTTATATGTGTATAAATAGAATAAAGTAAACCTTATTAACAACGTCTTGCTGTTCATCTAGTACTCTCTTTTTTTCAGCAACAATTATTTGAAGTGAAGAAACTTCATCTGGTACTTCTATTGTTTCTGAATTTTTAATTTCTTCTTTAACTGTTGACATTCTTCCAATATAGGCTAAAATTGAAAGAACAATATTAGTAGAATGCATGTCAAATAATACAAATAACATTAAAAATAACTGCATTACCTTAATAACTTTCTTAATATCATTAAGTTTCATTCTATCTCTTGATAATGTTTGATTCAATGCATTTATCTGATCAGCAGCATTATCTTTTCTTCGAGTGATATCCCTCTTGATTTCTTCAAGTCTTTCACATTCACGCTGAATATCGTTCAAATTATATTTAGAAGTATTATATAATTGTGATTTCTTCAGCATTTGATTAGACATAATACCACGTCGAAATTTGTTCCCTCCCCCAGACATAGTGCCTAAAAGTAATAAATTATTTGTTTAGTAATGAAATTTAACTTAATTTTAAATACAAAAATCAAACCTGCTAATTCAATCAATTCGCCCTTAACTGTAACAACTCGGTGGCGGTTCCTGCCATAAGCCACCCGCGTTGCTTGATCCAAGTTAGAAGCAACCAATGTGTTTCTTGTCACATAATAAAATGCTGGTAATATTCTAGTATCATTTACGCGTATTAGATCAAACAAACGTGGTAGGTTTTCAGGACTGAAAAATAAGAAACTGGTATAAAATGATTCCTAATTCAAGACCATGATTATATTTTTAGAGTTAAAATCAAATCAATATGAAAATCAAATTTTATATTACTTTCAACAGTGTATATTATAAAAAACAATATATTTACCTTTCAAATCTTGCTTTAATATTATCCCAAAAGTGTTGTTGCTTATCTAAAGCAATAAATGTGGCTCTGCCAATATT